TATAAAACATAAGTAGTCAATAAAATTACAATAGTCATGGTAAAAATATGATATTATAATACAACACAGACTAAGACATGATTACAAACAACTAAAATTTATTTGAACGTTTATATAAAATATAAATAGTTAATGGCATCACAACACATACTAGTCTTCACCACACTCTCTGTATCTTAAAAGTTATCAAACTCTTAAAGCATGGATGCACATTCAGAGAGAGATTTCCCAGGGAGTAGCCAATTTTAGGCATAGATAAGTGTTTTAGTCATTGTTGGTGAACTCCTATAAGAGTCCACTACACGTCCTCTAGTGCTAAGGGCTGATTTAGAGGCCATTGTAGATACTGGCACAACCAAGACATCACGTGCCATCCTACAACGTATTTTATATTTGCTAGAATTAACTCTCTACCATGCTTGTATATCAAAGTCATCATTAGCTGAAGAAGATGAAAGATATCTATCTAATTCAGATTGTGGGTTTGAGGAGCTTTTTTCTTTCTGGAAAGCTAACCATCTGCGACTTGGATCCCTACTACCTCGGCCTTGTGGCATTACTAATGATGATGATCCTGAGGATACAGAAGAAGCATTACTTGAAATACTAGTACTTGCCCAACAGAATACTCATCAAACATATGGTATAAAACATCTCTAATCTTAATTTTCATAGCCATGCAAACTTCTACATCATGAAAAAGCTTATCAAATATATGATATGCACAAGCAAGCTTTAAGGATCCAAAATCACAGCTACAATGAGCAAAGGATTCTTGTTCTCAGCTTGACCCCAATATTTTTCATATTTACTTCTCATGTTAAGGGACATCTCCATAAGCAAAGGATCAACATTCATAATGTTCTATTCGAACAAATCATGACTTAGAACAATTTGGTGGAAACAAGGGTTAGAAGTGACATTTAGTGAACTTGAAAATATTAAAGTTGTGTCATAGAACACCTTCAAGAATTTGAGAAACATTCTTGCCTCATTCCAATCACTAGCTTTAGGAGGGCCTTTACGCCTACATTTATCCCTTCTAGAACTTTCCTCTTCATTCTTGGAACCTCTAGTAAAATATGCCTCATAAATCATATCTTCATCCTCCAACCGTTCAAAAGCCTTGTGAAATTTCAAAGTAGATTCCAGCATCAAATATGTTAAATTCCATTGAGTATTAACATCAAGACAAACAAGGCTGGTGGTGTCCACTTTCTCTAGTTCAGCAATATTCTTTTAGAGACAAGCTAGAGAAGAACGGACATATTTAACTACATTGCAGATTGAATCAAAGTTATTCTTTAACTCCTTTAACCCATCATTAACCACCAAGTTAAGTATGTGTGCAAAAAATCTAAAATGAAGGTAATCACCCCCCACAAATCATACCTTTCCAATTCTTAAGCCGCTTTTTTAGTTATGACAAGGCAGTATCATTAGATGATACATTGCCCATGGTTATGGTAAACATCTTCTTTATTCCCTACTCTAATAGACATTCTCAATGGTCTTGCGTAATATCTCGCTTGTGATTTTCAATCATGCAAAAATTCAATATCCTCTGATGCAACATCCAATCAGGATCAATCAAATAACAAGTCAAACACAAATAATTAAAGTTCTAAGTAGATGTCTAGTAATCAGTTGTTAAACAAACACGATGTGCATACTTTTTCATTACCTCCTTCAATATCTTGATTTCTCCAAGGTATAGTTTCCAACAATCTCTATCAACTGTTGTCCATGATGGAATTCGAAATCTTGGTTCTAGCTCTTTGACAGTGTTTCTAGACCCATGCTTCTCAACAATCCTAAATGGCATCTTATCACAAATAACAAATTCAGCCAATGCCCTTCTGCATTGTTTTTTATTAAAAACATAAGAGACTAAGCTTCCTCTTTGTCCACTTGGTGTCACATAGTTCAACATTGATTGCTTCGGTATTGTGTGGGCCCTGTTTGGATTCTTGTAACATTTTGGAAAGTGCCTTTTCAAGGATGTTGTGCCATGCTAGTTTGGGTCAGAAGCATAAATTGCATGATAATATTTGCAAGCAGCCTTAACTTCTCCATTTGTTTCTTCCAAAGGTAACTTCACAAAATGCTCCCAAACTTGTGATCTTCTGCATTTCTTAGTAAGAGGAGGAGGGCTTAGTTCATCAGGAGGGGGCATTTTAGTTTCACTAGTCCCTATTAATTGTGTTTACGTAGACAAGGGTTGATCAGAAGTACCTGAAGTTTCATCCACTATTTCTAACATGAAAAATAAATAATCATGCATTAAACATTGAACATATAAGATAATACAATTGGAAGATAATAAAATATAATATACTACTATTGGCACAAGGAGCTAAGACAACTAACAATGCACTACTTATTAATTCCTATTTTCCTTACTTTGTATATTCTATTCCCCATTAAAAAAAATCATCAAAGAAAACCAAAATACGAAGTTAAAAGGTCATAAACCCAATCTTTAATTATTTGTGTTTTGTCATTTCATTGATCCTGATTATAGTTGTTATTATAATTCAAAAGAGACTACCTTGTACTTTGTTTTTTTAATCTACATTCGAGAATATAGAAGAGGTTTCTCGCATCTATAAAATCACTTTTATTTTATTAAAATTTATTCCAGTTTGCAAACCAACTGGTACATAAAGCGAAGTTAAAAGTTAAAAGTTAAAGTAAAAGTAAACATATATACGAGAACAGGAAGGTCAAAGTAAACTTTGATTGAATAAATGTCTGATAAATATACATATTGAAAAGGAGCTTCTTTTTTCAATTTTCTTTTACATATGTCAGAACCAACAAATGTAAAGATCAAAATTGTTACTTTTGATAGTTGAAATTATAAATAGAACCTGACCTCATATCTTTGAATACAATAATAAATGCTCGTTAGTACATTCACATGTGAAATAACTCAAGTAACATACATGCAAAAGATGTAAAGAAAATACCCAGCAGCAACGTTTGAAATCCCGACTATCATAAAAATTACAGATTGCAATCTATTATAAACAAAGTTGACCCAAAAATGTCAGAAAGACAAAAGCTTTCAGGGAAAAAAAACCAAGTTCAAGATAAGAGGAGGAAACACAAAGCTTGACTACAAGTAAATTTCATAAACCAAACATTGAAAAAGAGAAGTTACTTAAACTCTCGAAGCCTTGAACGAACCTTTTGAGGAGAAAAAGCTACTCAAACACTGAAAAAAATCCAATCAAACATTGATGGGGACAGATGAATGGCGACTGAGTCAAACTCTCAAAGAAAAAAGAGGAAAGAGTGGCAGAAAGGTCAGGGCATAAAGTGGAAAAGGGAAAAGTGTTTTGGTCTACTGATTGAGTTGGGCTTGGGCTCATATTTTGTATTCTAATAATTTCATATGGACATGGTCTAATTCATCAATCCTTAACTAGTCTTACCCATTAATTTAGTCTAACCCGTTGGTCTGGTCTCCTCTTCAGGTTGTTTTTAACGGACTGCGTCAGGCCGGGTTCCTCCAAGTTGACCGGGTTTCAGGTTTTTTTTACACAACCCTGGTTGTAATGAAGGATTTAATTAGAATCCATTGACAAGTGAAGAGTAAACAATAACAATAGGTTTATGCTCGTCAGTTGTCATTGGGACTTTTTGGTAATTAAATTTCTTTCTTAAGACTTCTTAGTAATTCTACCTATATTTTTTGTCAGTCGGGCCTTCAAGGTGTTTTTGATGAAATAACCTCTGTTTGCTGTATATTTTTATTCCGTGGGAATTCGCTATATTTCATTCAAAATTTTTGCCCAGGTGCCTACGAAATGCCTATGGCCATGAAACATGAGATTAAATGCATCTAAAGGAGTCATAAAAATCAAGTATAAGTATTATATATATATATATTCCATTTAGCATGAAATTTATGTTTTGCTTAGCATCATTCGAAATTAAAACATGGAGGATAAAAGTTAATCAAAGATGGCATATTCTACATCGCTACTTTTCTATTTAATTAGTAACTGAATTTATACTTTTTTTTTTTTTTACATGAGCTTTAATCAGAAGCATAAAGTCCATTCGCTTAAGCATTTTCAGCAGCCTCTATTCTAATATGTGAAGTGCCTGTTTGATTAAATGGTGAGAGCTCAAATAAGCCTGTTTAAGCTTAAATAAGTGATTATGAAGCCCGTTTATCCTATTTGGATAATTTTTATAAAATCCTAATGAATCATAATTTCACCTTTTTACTGCATTTTTAGGATAAACATCAGATAGTAGCTTATATGTTGGAATAATCATGATAAATCTTCATCAACTAAATTTTCTCCAATACACCCTCCCAAATTCTTTTGAAAATTTCCCCCCAAATATTATTTGCATATATTTTGCCTATGATTTTTAACCAAAACCCCTTCAAATTTATTAATTTTTTCTATTTAAATTTTATTTCAATAATTTTGAGTCAACATTCAATTTTCTTATTGCTAATAAAATTTTATTTATTTATATTCATAGCTTATTTAGTATATGCTGTCTCTTATTTAATATTTGTACTACACATAAATTTTTAAGTTATTTAAATAAAAATAAAAATAATTGTAAAATAAAAATAATATTTAAATATTCATGTCACATATTAAATTATATTATATAACATTTGTTATTAAATACAATAATTATGAACATGTAAATAGCTTTATGAAATTTACACCCTTTTCGGTAACTATATATCTATAAGTGATTTTAATAGGTGAAAACCAAACATAATCATAACTTTTGAAGCCACTCATAAAAAAAATTCAAACAGAAATCATGATTAACCAACATCACTTATAGCTTGTATCACTTATGAAATTTATGATTATGTAAAATCACAGTTGTTTACTGCTAATTCAAATGAGTATTGGTACAGTTTTTATTGTGTTTTGCACTGTTATTTAGAGTGATATTTTATTCGTTGTTCATTTGTTTTGTAATTGCTTATTTATATACAATATGCTAGAGGATGTCAAAATACAAGATTAGATAACTGCAATAACATTACATTGCATGTAAACCTTAGGACCAACATGGCATATAGCGGTAGGACACATAAACTGAATTTAAAAATATTCTATCACATTTTTTCTCGAACTGTTATATATAGGATCAAAGTGCAAGTACAAGTAAAACAGTCCTAAGGAATAGTGAACAGATTTTAAGGGCTAAGAATATAGTAAATCCGCCTCAAAGCTGGAACCCTTATTAAGGAAATTTTTGCGAAACTCAGAATATGAAATGGGTTTGTATAAGGGAGGAGAATTTGAAGTGATCATAGAATTCGCTGGTTCTATGACGTATTCATCTTTTGGCTTTATGAAATACGCCACTGTTGTCCTCGCTGTGTTTATGTTTGTCACCACTCGGTGTTCAGCGCCAATCAGCCTTCTATTGCTAATCATCTGATGAATCAGTCACATATATAACGAATTATTCAATTTAATTCATCATAATAAATAAACCTTATCACACATATATTTCAACGGCCCAAAAAAAAAGGGAACTTATTATAAAGGTAAGGCTTTTATTTTTTGGAAACTAACCCAGCCGCCTTCCCATCATTATTATAAGAGACATACATGAGTTGCAAAGACAGAAAGAAATTAAGTTTTTTTAATTATTAGAAATATTTTTGATAGAGTTTAGAGATAAAAGCCAAAAAAGAATTAAGTGAGAAATAAACAAAAAGCCTTTCACATGATATCCAATATCGGTGGCTAAATGAAAATGTTTTTTTTTTTTCAATTCAAAGTACGCCATGCTTCTCTGTTTTCAATAATATAATATACTTTGTTTTTATTAAATCTGTTTTGAGTATGTGTATTTCACAAAAACAACCTATGAAATGAGTTGCAAAGATGATTAACTCATCAAAAAAAAAAAAATCTTATTAAATTTTTTTATTATATATCGATGCATTAGTAGTGAGATTCAAAGTCGCATCAGGTTGACAGGCATCAATAATTGTTTTCGAGAACCGTATACTTCACATGAGGTTTTATCTCTCTAAACAAATGAATATTCTTGATGGGAACCACGCATGAATGATGTGTCACAATATATATAAAATTGAAATTATATGAGAGGAGAAATGGCATAATTTGATCGCTCAATATTATATTCATTAGATGGGATGACTTGGGAACTGGCTCGTTAATTGATTCTGGGTAGTATTGAACACTCAAATATAATTTAAATTAAATAAAAAATAAGTAAAAAAACGATTGGACTAGTTAAAGATATTACTAGTATTTACTATTAAGAATTGTAAAAATAATTTTATTTAATTTAAACATATTGAATATGTTTTTTTCAATTAGAATTTGAGTATGACTAGATTAATAAACTATGAATTAATGTGTCTATCAATCAATTCAATGATGATTCATTTTTAAAATTATTATTTAAACTTTAAAAGCATAAAGATTAACATAAAATATAAAAGAATGTAAGCTGCCACACATTTCAGAAGATTGTAAAGTGCATCATGGGCAATTTGTACTGACCACCCTAATTATTTATTTCTCCATTTTTTAAATATAAAATGTAACGTACAAAAAAAATAATAATAAAAGAAAATATTATATTTTATTAAAATAATATTTTTATTAATATAATATTTCATTAAAATAATATTTTATTAGTTAAAAAAAAAAAAGCCAACCCCCTTCCACGGAGAGTTGAAAATTGGGGGGGGGGGAATTAACGAAGAAGGAAAAAGAAGGGGGAGGGACAGGAGAAGTAGGGTGAGGTATAGGCAGAAGAAAATCGAGGAAGGAAATTAAATGTGAGGATTTTAAATATGTGCAACCTTTGTCTTCCCTTCATTACGTGCAAGAAGTAGAGAAAGAGAGAGTGAGAGGTAGAGAGGAAGAGAGAGTGAGTGAGCTGAGTTGCAAAGGATGTTAGTTTTGGAGATCATTCAGGTACACAAAACTACTTCTTTTTGTTAAATTTTCTTTATGAATATTTTCTATATATTTAGAGCTTTATATTATTAGTATCATTATAATGTTTGGAGAAAATTTTACGGTTTGGATATGGAGTAAATATAGAGTTTTAACAATATTTGACTATAGAAATTTAAAGATACATTATTAAGAAATTTTAATCAGTTTATATTTGTTTATTGATGGTTTTGGGAATTTTAAATTAAGATTTTAGTTGAAAAAGTTGTTATTCAAGACTTATAGAATATTTTTACTGATTAAATTTAAGTTAAATAATTTATTTGAGTTATTTAATATATTATTAAGCTTTTAATCGGTTAGAATAGTGAGTATGTCAAAGATATATTGTTGAAATAATTTTTGGAAGTATAAAGAATTGTAAATTGAGAATTTTATAAAATTTAAAATTTATTTATACTTCAAAGGAGTTCCTTAGCTGATGAAAAATTTTAAATGGGACTATAATAAATAGTTGAGATTTTAATATAAAATATTTATATTGTAAGAAATATATATTTGTCTAAGTTATTAAATTTAAATAGTCTTATATGTAAATTATATTTTCAAAATATTATATTTATTAATAAATAGCAAAATTTGGGAGAGTTAATATGTTTATGTATTTTTGGTTTAGAGGGTAGTCTTAGAATTTTAGAGTAGTTTTGGATTAGTTTTGTTTTATATTAATAAATATTTATGTGCAATTTTGTAGACCCTTGAGAATTTTGGAGTAAACTTTGTGTGAATATTTGTAAGCTAAAGAGTACTAGGTAACTCTGAAAATTCTTTCTTGTACATGTGAATTGTGTATGATTATATTGTGGATTTACTAATTTTTATATCATACTGAAAAGTAGTATTATGATTTCAAATAAATGTTTTGATATGTTATTTGATTTTGTTAAGATTTATTGCTATTAATTATGATCAATGTTTAAATATATTGATGGCTAAGGAATTGTCATGAGTTGCTATTAAATGGTATATAAATTTTATTGCTATCTTATCTTTAAAATATTTGAGGACGTATTTATGATGTAATATTATTGGCATCTGACATGCATTGTTGGGCTAAGGATAGAAAGAGATTACATGGATATAAAATTTCCACGTGGTATGCCATCACTCGGTACACAGTGGATGGCACTTGTCAGGGCTCATTCTTCCATGTTTTCCTTTGGCCGGGAATTCATTGGAGCTGTGGGACATGTGACACCTCCCTATTCACAAAAGAGGGGAGCCATAGTCCGAGCTTGAGCTCTATATCTTTGGCTGGATATATCTCTTGTATCGGTGATCTTGGAATAATTTAGTAAAATGGATTAGTTCCTATCTGACTATGTGTTAGCCTATGGCTCCAGTCAGCGGTATAAGGGTGGACGGTGATATAAGGGAGGCAGCATATTGCATTATTTTTGGATATATTGAAAAATAAATGAAATTGAATTGAGTGTATCAAATCTGTGATTTTTTAAAATATACATATATAAAGACCTATAAATAGATTTTTGGTTTATCATATATGGTTTGCTTGTATAGGTTAGAATTTCAGTAGTTACTGAGACGTTTGATCTCATCCCCTATCTTAACAATTTTCAGGCGAAGGGTCTAGTAGGAATCAAGGGAAGGCACCAATGGAGCGAGCCGTGAAGGCTTTTGTACTCCTCAACACATACTATGTTATATTTTTATTTGCCATGACTATAAGACTTTAATAGTTTATTTTGTTGTTATATTAGAAATATTTTGAAATTATGAGTTGTTTGAAGTATTAGAAATATGTATGGACTTTTAAACTAAATATTTTGTTGCGTATATTGATAAAATTATGTGAGGTGTTACATAAAACCTAATTAAAAATTTTGTTTTGGTATCAAAGATTGTGCTTCAACATTTTCATCTCTATTTAATATTTCTTTTAAAATTATCCTTATTAATTTCTTAATTTTAGGTCTTCCTTTTGTCTCCTCCATTACATGTTTTTCTTTCTCTTTGGGGTTATTTTAGCAAAAATGGCACATCTTTTGCACAGTAATGACAAATCATCAACTTTTAATATCTAAACATTAATTATTAACTAGATCTTATACTTAGGCTTGAATGAGTGTTATATTACTACTACTAGTGACTGTTATATTTTAAAAGCATCATTAGAGAAGCATACACACACGCATACCTGCAAGAGAAGGCCAATGTTGACCACAAAGGCATTGGGAATAGGTTCAACACCGATCCATTGGCCATCTTTGAGCACTTGAAGTCCATTAATTCCTTTGGGCTGGAGAAGAATTGTAAGAAGTGTTGGATCTTTGTGTTTCGGTGACCCCAACGTTAAATTTGGTTGTGGGCATGGCGGATAGTGATGAGCAAGAATCATAGGATTTCCACTCAATTCTCCACAGAAATAATTTGATTTCAGTCCTAATCCTTCAGCAAGCATCTTCAAAATCTGCACTCCCAATTTTCTCAGTTCTTCTGTGTATTTCCCAACAATTTCCCTAAGAAGAGGTTAAAGAAAAACAGAGAATTAATCCATTATTAGATCAAAGTTATATATAGTAACTGTAATTGCATATGTATAGTACTACTTATAGGGAGAATTGAGAAACCAAAGTTATTGTGGACGTCAACTTCTTCGTGCATTAAATGGGTATGGCTGGTTCACGTGATTGACAATATTATATTATCAAGATCGTTGTCAAAACACTTAGAATGGTGACCTCAATGATATTATCAGACTGAATAGCGAAATTTTAATTTTAAAAAGATGTTTGACAAGGAATCCACTTAATTCAGCTAACAAATATTGTACTCAAAATTAAATATCAAGCTCAACTTGGTTAGAGAAAAAAATCAAGTTTATACATAACCCCTTTCAACCTTTTACCAAGGTCTGTTATATTACTTTTTTTGACCTTCAAAATTTGACGATAAATCTTCTTGAACCTTTAATCTTGTAAAGAGAAGTCCCATGTTGTTTATTAGTGTATTATTTCACTTATACAAGGACAAAGTAGGGGTTTATTTGTGAGTGGCTTAAATATTTAGTGGTTATCAAAGACTCAATTTATGAGGTCTTCTGCATAGGAAAAGAAGTTTGAGAGAAAAGCATACCGTGCTCCATTAATGAAATGATGGACTAGTGAATGTTAAAGGGGATAAATGTTTAAGGAATTTAGTATAAATTTTGAAGATTCAAGAGACAAAATATTTGCAAGGAGATTTATGAACTTTACCTGTATCTTACTGGTTTCTGGGGCCAAAATTCCACGTATTCTCCAGAAGGAGGACAAGGGTGTCTCATTGTATCTCTCCAGTATTGATTATTATCATCTTTTCTGTAAACCTCACAGCTTGTGTACAGCTTGCAGATTCCATTCGGGCTTTTTGAACTTTCAGCCATCTTTTCTTTCGGAGGCATACCATGGAATTCTTTGAAATTGTTTAGTGTATCCTCCATTAATTCCTCAGAAACTCCATGGTTGATCACCTACTTCACAGTATTCTTTCTAAATATTATAATATACGTATGTATATATTTATATATGTTTCTAACACAAAGTCAAAGCGTGCACTTAGTTTTCATTACTCGCCGTTGTCAGGGGGAAAAAAAAACAAGAAGAAGAAGAAGCTAGCTGATAAAGAAAAGATGTATATAGAAAATGGAAAGTTGAATTAGACTGAACCTGGAAGAAACCATATTCCTGGGATGCTTTCAAAACGAGGGATATGGTATCATGAGGAGGATGATCACATCGTCCAAGATCAATGACAGGGATTGACTTGCTTGAACCCACAAGGAGCTCGCCGGGTCGGCTTTCGGGTGGATGAACGTGAGATGGTGGCACTGATGAATGCAGATTATACCAGCTGGTCACTAACATCTCCTCCATTTTCATCTCCATGCTTTTTCAGTATAGCTTTCAACACAAAAAAGAATAGTATAGTAGAATATGTCTTCCTTCTCCAAAGCATGGAGGGGTTACCAATAAATAGAGTGTGAGGTAGATAGACTGGGCCATTCAAACGTAACAGTAGACTAATGGCGGTTTGGTTCAAGAAAAGGATAGGAATGGAAGTGGAATGAACTGATATATAATACAAAATAGAATGAAATGTTCGTCACAAAAAAGGATATTCCTTGTTATTGGTTAGGCTTTAGGTGGATGTATTGATTCCACTAAAGTAAGAAATGGAAGGCTTTCATAAACAATCATACTACCTCTGATTGTTAATATAAAAATTAATTTGACTTTTAATTTGGTGATATATGATCTTAATCTACTTTGTCTCTTATATTTATCTATTTTTTCAAGGTAGTTCTTGTAGTAGTCGTACATGTTAAATGTTTCATCACATAGAAGTTTTAGCTAATACACATGATTAACAAGGGTATTTTAGGGAAGACAACACCTATTTATTAAAAATAACTAACTTAACTACTTTTTTTTAACTCAAATTAGTCAACTAGCTTTTTTATTAAAGAGTAGAGATAATATTTTCTAAGATAAAATTTTATATCTAAACATGCAAGATGTATAAATGCAAATAGGCTTTTATTAAGAATCCAAACGAACAGACGGTATGTTTAGTCCACGTTCATAGCATTACTTATATGTCTTCGTTAGCTTAACTAAGTCTAGTGATCAATTTTCACCAGTAGGGATGAGACAGGATTGGATGAGTTTCTCAATACACGTTTATATCAAGACATACGCGAATCTGCGAGTATTCTATTATTGTCACATAGACACATATTCGTCCCATCAATTTAGCCATGAAACTCATAATAGAACCCCTCTCCTTAATATAAGAGCTAGATAATTAATTTAAAAATATTAAAAAGATCAGTTAAGTTGATTACTTGCAATAAATATGCGTTAGACTTCCCTAAACTATCATCTTGAATCATGTTTATTGGTATTACCCTTGGTGAGAACCCTTACAATCAATATAAATATTTTGGATAAAATATATAAATTTGCGAGACGAAGTGGATTGAACTACTATATATTTAAAATCAAATTCAATCCCTAACTAGATTTTATATTAAGAACCAAAAGTAAAAACAATTTTTATCTTTTAATATAATATCTTGGGTAAAGTAGCATTCAATACCCTGATGTTCAGCAACATAATTTTATTAATAGTGCATCTGGCATCTGGTGATTTATTTTTTAGTTATATCTAGCACCCTGTAAATTTATTTGTAGTTTAGAGTATTAGATACATTATAAATAAAAATAGGATGTTAGAAGCACCAGAAAAATAACACCAAGATGTTATTTCTCCATGAAGATAAAAATCATATGCAAAGCAATTTTTTAGTTTGAAAATAAACAAAGCTAAGCTAGCTATTTAATATTAGAACACAACATTCTCGAGACTTGTCCCAAAGTATTAGTCAAAGACTCATTTATACCCAAATTGGCGGGGCGTAGTTTGATACTTGGTTGGACTTGAATTCATATATACTTAAATTGCCATCGTATTTACAAGGGGAGCTCCTAGGTGGCGTTTAATTGACAAGACATTTAATATATTTTGAAAAGATCCTTTAATCAAATATAGTTAAATCAACGTAATTATTTTAGAACGTACTAATATATATATTTTCAATAATATTCTTATACAATGTATCCAGGCATCATCTGTCTTTATCTCATTATCTTAATTAAGTACCTTAGCTTGTGTGTTCAGCAATAAATCAAAATATATAATGATGTCAGTGTAATTAAATGTGACTTATCTACAATTGATTTGATATTTCCTATTTAATACTCCTCTAATCCTTAATATGAAACCTATTAAGTTAATTTAATTAGATTAAAAAAATTAGGTGAGTTAGTCAATTATAAGAAATATGATATGTTTTTCTTAAAATACCATAATTATCTTTCTCAATATCCTCCTTCCCTCCCCTATTTGATTATGGTTGAGGGGTATCAATAGAAGTAATTTAGAAAAAACTGATAAACGTGATAAATAGGTCTTATATTGAGGATCAAGATCAATTCAATAATTAGGTTCTATATTAAGGATCGGGGGAGTATAATTACTTATTTTATATACTATCCTAATCCTTAATCTATATAAGAGCTAGTTTGATATTCAATTTGGTCCTAAATATAAAACAACAATCCACTTTGTCTCTAATATTTATCTATTTTACCCTCAAGTAATCCCTATATTAATTGCATATGTTAAGGAGTTACTATCAATGGGTATTCAAACACACATGATTAATAAGAGTATTTTAGGAAAGATAACATCTATTTACTACAAATATTTTCAAATTAGTCATCTAGGTTTTATATTAAGGATCAGAGGTAGCAGTTTTTTTATTCTATTTATGTTGATCCTATCTCCATTGATAAAAATTGAATGTATGAACTAATTTTTCAGTTATTAGTGTCATTAAAATTTTCTCATGCACACGGATACATGTTATCATATGCTGATAATGAACGAAACAACCAAAGTTTAATTACCTTCATTGCCTTGTGTTCTTGTGTCCCAGCTTTCTCTCAGAACTCAAAATGTTCTCACATGATTGATTGTAGAGAAGAACATGGTTTTGATGTGATAAACTCAAAATCAATCTTGGCAGAGTGTTAAATTAGTTAAATATGAATTTTCGATGATTCGATTACAACTAATTCAAAATTTTCTATATATTTAATCTAATTTCCTATGTTATTTATGATGACTTTATAATCCTATTTAATGTGATTATTGTAGTTATATGTGTATATTAATTTAATATTTAATATGGTCATTAGGGTTTTTTGTTCCCTTTGTGTGTGTACATATTTAATTATAGGTTGGATGCATAATATGACCCAAGTTTACCTCAAATATTGCCTTCTAACTTTTGCCTCTGGATAGGGACAAGTCAAGCTTTTTATGTATAGGGAGAGATTAAAAATTATAAATAACACAAAAATTTCATAAATTTTGGGAGTGAAAATGCATAACATTTCTATAATATTAAAAATAAAAAACAAAAAACATGGAGGCCACACCAAATCCCCCTTCCTTCCATCACTGCCTTTTGTGTTTTTTTTTTGGGGTCTAAGTTTCGGCTTTCTCTCTAAAATCAATACAATCTCACAAATAAAATTATTACAAAATTTGTATTATTTAAAGTCATAGGGTGACCGATCATAATTCTTACTAAATGAACTGTATTGGAAAAAAACGTGCCTAGTCATTTAAAACAACGAGAATAAATATTTTGACTAGCTCTAGTCGGTGAAGACTTTTTTTATTAGGAAAGGAAGTCCTACTTATGAACAATATTGATTGCCATTTGCAAATTGACAATTTTTTATGTGCATTCTTCTAGAAGATGTATAAGTAAGGGGAAAAAAGAGATGATGTATGCTAAAGCACAATACTGCTTAGGTCCTAAATATAGGGCTAGTTAAAGAATTGATTTTGGTATTAAATGTAAGACTTTAATCTATTTTATCTTTCATATTTATTATTTTTTGAAATTTATTTTTGTAACTTATAAACTGATATATAAATATATATATATATAAAATCTAAGGTTGCATAAAAGTATTTTAGAAAGACTATGACACGTTTGTTAGAATTAAGTAATATATTTAACTTTTTTAATTTTTTCAAATTAGTTAAGTAACTCTTATATTAAGGATTAGATGAGTAATAAATTCGAATAGTAAGAATAACATAAAAGTCAATTGCGTGCGCGTGTATGTGTGGAGAGATTATCCATAAATATAATCGCACTTTGATCAGTTGATATTATATCATTTGATGTAAACATAAAGAAATCTCAACTATATTTAAATAAGTATCAATTATAGCAACCTTTCACCTGCCCATATTTCTTATTTTAGTATATTTTTCCCCTTATTTCATGTTCATGCATGTGGACACTATGCCCTACAACCTAATTATTAACTTTTTTTTTGGCCTTGACAAGCTAACTATTAATTAAACTATCGTCTTAAGTTGTAGTTGAATTCGCAATATATAATTGTAGGAAAAAGATGTGATAATTTCATCTTTCAATTGTGGTCATAATAACTCGACTTTCAATTTCAAAGGGCTTGGCGTAGCTGAAACGGATTCATACGTATGTACTGGCCATTTGTGGGGCGGTAGTTATTTTTCTAATAATTTATGCAATTATTTGATGAAAATTACAATAACAGGGTTAAAAAATAAAATAAAGCAATGAAATTCAAGAAAAAGACCAAACATCATGACTAATGCAAAATTTTGAGATTTTCAAAATGAGATTTATAATTGCAACATTGGAAATGTTACGTTATGATTTTTCTTTTACTTGTTCATGAATGAAATGGTATAATAAAATATCTTTCTTATTTTGCGGTTGTAAGAAAAATGTTAGACAATAAAAAAATATGTTAACAATTATGAAAAATGGTCATCTAAAAATTCAATTCCAAAAGAAACGAAGTATGGATGTATATAAGGAAAAAGTGTAACACCTACTATAACTATACCATAAAGGTTAATTAATTAGCTATTGAACCACTAAGCCAGGTTTGATCTTGTATCAGAAATGTGATTTTTTGAAAAATTTTAAACTTTTGAAAGAATTTACAAAATGTCCTGTTAGTGGTTCAAACATCCAATTAATTCCTTGGCTCCAAAATCAATGAGCTGTTTGTACTAAACCATTAACATTTAACTTCAAAGTAACAACTAAACATTTATCTACTAATAACAGCTATCAAAGGTGATGGCACTTACCTGCTAGCAACATAGCCATCACTTTCCTCTTTATAGAGGTAAATACAGCCTATATATACTTTACATGATTACATATAATTATGTACAAAAACATAGCCTCACATGGCTAACAAAATATAACTAGAACATCCTAAATAAACTTGATGAACAAAAAATTAAGTTCTCTAGCTTCCCAACCTTCTTAAATATTAGCAAACACCACGCTCTTGCCCTTTGGGCCACTAGCCTTCGCTGTATGTCATAGATGAAAGGGGTGAGATTCTAGGAATCTTAGTAGTGACAGCAGTC